GGCATCCTCTACCGCCGCAACGTCACCACTGAAGGCCCTGAGCTTCTGCTTGTCATCCCTCGTCATCTACGGCCTGCCATACTTCAACAACTTCACGACGCACCAACAGCGGGACACCTCGGCGTTTCCCGCACATACGACCGCGTGCGACGTCGATTTTTCTGGCCTGGATTGTACCGCAGCGTACGTCGATATGTCGCCACTTGCGACCTCTGCCAGCGCCGGAAAAGACCTTCTTTGCTGCCAGCTGGATATCTTCACCCAATTGAAGTCCCCTCTGAACCATTTCATCGCGTGGGACTCGACCTTCTTGGCCCTTTTCCGACGACGACACTAGGAAATAAATGGATTGCCGTCGCCACAGATTATGCGACCCGTTACGCGATAACAAAGGCCATGCCAACCAGTTGCGCCACTGACGTCGCGGATTTTCTTCTTCATGACGTCATCTTACACCATGGTGCACCCCGACAGCTGCTTACGGACCGCGGCCGCTCTTTCCTGTCCAAAGTTGTCGATGACCTCCTTCGATCGTGTGCTACAGCCCATAAGCTATCTACCGCCTACCACCCACAAACTAATGGCCTAACTGAACGTCTCAACCGCACGCTCACAGAGATGCTTTCGATGTACGTCTCCGATGATCATCGAGACTGGGATACAACGTTGGCCTATGTGACCTTCGCATATAACTCCTCTCGACATGACACTGCGGGATTCTCGCCTTTTTATCTTTTATATGGTCGCGACCCCATATTGCCATTTGAAACCACCTTGCCTCTCGTGCCATCTCCTTCCGAGTACGCGCGCGAAGCCATTGATCGGGCTCACATGGCTCGTCAAGTTGCCCAGTCTCGCCTCACCAGGTCACAGGATATGCAAAAAGCCCGCTACGACCACCGGCATCGAAATATAACGTTTGCCCCAGGTGACCACGTGCTCCTCTGGTCACCGTGTCGCCGTGTAGGTCTCTCCGAAAAACTTTTGTCCCGATACGCCGGACCCTACCTAGTCTTACGTCAAGTTAGCGACGTAACCTACGAGATAGCGCCATTGCACTCCAATACGTCACCAAGTTCGTCACTAGTTGACATTGTCCATGTTTCGCGCTTGAAACCCTACTTCTGTCGCACTTCTCCGGACTCTCGCCGAGACGGCGCTCCAACGCCCGGGGGTCCTGCTACGGAGAGGAAGAAAAGGAAGAGGTGCGACTGACAGGCGCGCGACTGGGCCAATCAGCCATTGTGTCTCTTGCCTGTAGTTTTTACTCTGCAAATACATCTCGCTCAGAAGCAACCAACCTCGTAACAATATTGTTACCTGTTATTTCATTGCTTTCCTACTGCCCTTTTCTCCATGCGCGAACTGAGCTTCGCTCTAGGAAGCAGCATTGTAATGCACCATTGGGCTACGTGATAGCACGAACATATATAAATATACGAACTTGTCCAACTTAAAGTATTTCCCGAAACTCTATATTCTTTGCTATATGTGCAAATATCTAAAACAATGACGGCATGCCTCTATATGTAAAAAATGTAATTGTTGGTGCTGTAGGTTGCATCTGCTTAGTCCCTTTCAATCTATTGCTTCCCCGACATCCACCGACGTCCTCCTCATTGACGACGACGCAGGCCATGGCGCTGCTCGATGTATCGCTTGCATATCCATGCTTATTACGCGGCCTTCACCTTCATCCTGGTAGCAGGGAGTTCGATCTGCTTGATAATGTAATCAACAGTCACGCAGCAAAAATACGAACAATAATTATCGTGACGATTTTCAGAAATATTACCCAAAGGCGCAGGCTCGGAGTGCGTGAATTCTCCTCATCGTGCATTGAATCTTACAAAAGCTAGAGCGTAACTATCTGCTTATAAGAATATACTGTCGCCCTAGCTACAGCATTACGTTATCACTACGAGAAATAAGCTCTTTTTGTGAATATGAAGTGTGTGGACAGGGGGCAACACTGCTCCACATGCTGTGAGAGCCTGTCGACAACTGTCCCGAATTTACCGCCATTCTCGATGCGCTCATAAGGGCGGGTATTACCAAAGGAAGCATCGACTCACTTGTTCCCTCCGCAGACTCGGAAGATGAGGCTGCGGCGCACCTTTTCGTCAGCGGCGCCGCCGCTGCGAGGAGTCCCTTAAAAGCCCTAAGCCGAACAGCCAGCTCCGGGTTATTCGGCAGGCCAGGTAGCTGCCCATGTCCAGGGACACCAAGCCATACCTTAGGTCACCAAAGCCAGCAAACTATTTATATTTGGCTATAATATTATTTGGGGGTTTACGTCCTGACACAAGGAAATGATTATGACGGGCACCATAGCGGAGGGCTCCAGAAATTTCGGCCATCTGTGTGACGGCTTTTACAATGCCGTCACACAGAACACGGCCCTCTACCATTTCGCCCCAATTTACATGCACCCTCAGCACCCAGCCCCGAGCCCGTCAACTTCAAGCGAACAGCCAGACGACCACCGTAAATACTGCACCTTGGCGTTGAAAAAATTCTACATTGTGTGTATATATTAGGATAGGAACATTAATCATTACCCTGGAGCTGTCATAACTTATGCGACAAGGTGTGGTGTTGTCAACAAATCTTGCTGTCCTCGATCTGAAAAGCTTGGTCAAGCATTGCGAGGCAACTAGGCTCCGCGATGGCTCTGTCCACCAGCAGTGGTATGTGCATAAGCTTACCCATTGAATGCCGGACTAGGCAACCCCCTTCACTTTTACTCAATAAAAAGATCTGTCTAACTGTTTATGTTTTAAATCAAGCCATAAACTGAAAGCCTGAAGTTTCCATTGGGTCAAAAATATTAGTTATGTTTAAGGTCCATGATGCAATCCACTTACTAGTGGTCGTTTCCTCCTGAAATGTTATTTTGCTGCTGCTTCTTTTCTGCGCATTAAACTGCGATGGTTTTTAATATTGTTTACCTTAAAGGAAGCTGTTTGAAATTTTCGTCAAGCAGTAGATGTGTTTGGTGTCTAAAAGTTATGCAACGTAAACTACAGCCTGCAGCGCAAAAAAATGCAAAAACTATCGTGTAGAAAATGTTCAAAATGCGTCGATAAGTGAAGATAAATGTGGTGCTATTGTTCCATTAGTCATCGTCATCATCATCAGCCTGACTACGTTCACTGCAGGACAAAAACCTCTCCCATGATCCGCCAGTTAACCTGGTCCTGTGCTTGCTGCTGCTTATTTATACCCTCAAACTTCTTAATCTCATCTGCCCACCTAACGATCTGTCTCCCCCTAACTCGCTTGCCTTCTCTGGGAATGCAGTTAGTTACCCTTAATGACCAGCGGTTACCCTGTCTACGCACTACATGCCCAGCCCAAGTCCATTTTCTCTTCTTAATTCCAACTATGATATCCTTAACCCCCGTTTGTTCCCAAATCCACTTTGCTCTCTTCTTGTCTCTTAAGGTTACACCTACTATTTTTCTTTCCATTGCTCGCTGCGTCTTCCTCAATTTAACCTGCACTCTCTTTGTAAGTCTCCAAATTTTGGCTCCGTACCTAAGCACCGGTAAAATACAGCTGTTATATACCTTCCTCTTGAGGGATAGTTGCAATCTACCTGTCATAGTTTAAGAGTGCTGGCCAAATGTGCTCCACCCCATTCTCAATCTTTAAGCTACTTCAATCTCGTGGTTCGGCTCCGTGGTTATTACCTGTCCTAAGTAGACATAGTCTTTTACAACTTGAAGTGTACTATTACCTATCTCGAAGCGCTGCTTTCTTCCGGGGTTGTTGTACATTACTTTCGTTTTCTGCAGATTAATTTTAAGACCCACGTTTCTGCTCTCCTTATCCAACTCCGTAATCATGAGTTGCAATTCGTCCCCTGAGTTACTCAGCAATGCTATGTCATCGGCGAAGCGCAGGTTACTAAAGTGCTCTTTATTAACTCTTATCTCTAACTGTACCCATTCTAGGCTTCTGAAATCCTGCTGTAAGCACGCGGTAAACAGCATTGGGGAGATTGTGTTCCCCTGTCTTACACCCTTCATGATTGGTATTCTGTTGCTTTATTATGAAGCACAATGGTAGCAGTTGATACCCTGTAGATTTTTTTCAGAGTGTTTATATATACTTCATCTACGCCCGGATTCCGCAGTGTCTGCATGACGGCTGATATTTCTACTGAATCAAACGCCTTCTCGTAATTTATGAAGGCTATGTATAGTGGTTGGTTATATTCTGAGCATTTCTCTATTACCTGATTGATAGTATGAATGTGGTCGATCGTTGAGTAGCCTGTTCGAAATTCTGCTTGTTTCTTTGGTTTATTGAATTCTAATGTTTTCTTTACTCTGTTAGCAATTACCTTTGTAAATAGCTTGTATACTACAGAGAGCAAGCTAATCGGCCTGTAATTCTTCAAGTCCTTTTCATCTCCTTTCTTATGTATTAAGATGATGTTAGCGTTCTTCCAAGACTCTGATACTGTTCCCGTCAGGAAGCACCTCGTAAACAGGGTGGCTAGCATTTCCAACACAATCTGTCCTCCATCTTTCAGCAGATGTGATGTTGCTTGATCATCACCAGCAGCTTTGCCTCTTTGCGTGCGTTCCAAGGCTTTTCTGACTTCTATCATTACTGGTGGGGTGTCATCTGGTTTACTGCTAGTTCTTATAGTATTAAGGTCGTGGTGGTCCGGGCTGCTGTACAGATATCTGTAAAACTCCTCCGCTATTTTAACTATCCTATCCATACTGGTAGTTATTTTGCCTTCTTTGTCCCTTAGTGAATACATCCGATTTTTGCCTATCCCAAGTTTCCTCTTCACTGCTTTGACGCTTCCATTAGTGTGACGCTTCCATATGGCATTAGGATGCCATATTTTCCGATCACAATCTATGTGAGTGATTAGGACAAGAAAGGTGGCATCAAGTCACTCTCTGAAGAATATTACCTCTCAATATGTTTTCACAATTTTAAGAACACAAAAGAAAAGCTTACTCTTCCTCTTTCAGGTTCGAAAGTGTTATTTAAAACCCATCTTGTATATCTGGACTCAGACAATGTCTGTGCTGTCGTCCGGGTTTCACCCATGTTTCCCAGTAAAAGTCAGTAAGCAAGTTTCGTTTTCTTGTCACTATTCTAGAAATAATTTCATTGATAATGCCGGTATTGCTGGAAGTATTAAATTGAACAATAATACCTTAACAAGAAAGTTTATTGTAGGTAATACTAAGGGCAAAACAGCGCAAAAACGGGATTAAGTATTATTGACCGCACAATACAAGCATGGTTTCCCATTTTTTCCTGTTTTTGCGCTGCTTCCCCCTCAGTATTATGTACCACTGACCCTTACATGGGCGTTCCCCCGCCTATGTATCCAGTGTAACGCACCAAAGCGTACTCAGTCAATTTATTCACTTGCATGAGTGTTCGTGCCTGATGTGCACATCACAAAATTACTATAACATATTGCGCCCACAAGCACCCTTAAGTTCATAATTTTATAGCATCTATAACCAAAATTTGGTGAACGCTTGAGGTTCGCCTTCAAGAGTAGATACCGATAGCGTAAAAGAGTAAGTGTGCATCGCCTTTGGAAGTGCTAGCCGGCTCTGTTTTTGGTGCATGCCTCAACCGGGCCGAAAAGAAACGAACCACTGTAAGCTTCACATTGACTACATAAAAGTGTCACTGAATGGCTGTGCAAGCACAATTCTTGAATGCTTGTTGCGCTACAATTATTTCCTTACCGATTCAGCATAGGGCTCACTGCGAGGCCTTAGGGCAACACACAAATTTAAGGTGCTGTTCACTTTGTTGAAAGATGTGCTGCTTATGACAATTAAATATCTCTGAGCGCTTTATTAGGCTTGCACCTCTCTGCTAACGGGCACAATGGCAAAACCATTCGTTATTTAGAAAACGGGATAGATCAGACCATCATACTGCTAAAACGCATTACGAAGAGGCACAGTGGCATGAAACAAGGCAATACGATTCTTCTCGTGAACGCCTTCGTCCTTAGCAAAATATGTACGTTGCTCCTTACTTGAGGCGGCTGGTTGCCGAGAAAGAAAAATTGGAAAGCGTATACAGGAAAGTTTTTAGGCAAGCCTTAGGATTACCAAAAAACACGAGCCAGCAAAATTGTTGGATCTGGATTGCACAATACGCTGGACAAATCGGTAGAAACGCACAACATAGCCCAATTCGAACGACTTTCAAAAACAAAAACCGGCAGGTCGACATCCTCGAACAACTAGGCATAGTTTATCATACGCAACACGAAGAAAAGGCCGACGTGCCTGCGAGGGTGAGGGACAGAATAGTGGTCCCTTCATTACTGAGAAATATGCATCTCGAGTATCACGCTGGTAGGAGAAACAGACGCGCGTAGGATTTGCAGAGGAAATTCGGCAAGTGCAAAGAAGCGGTCTTTGTTGACGCAGCTCGTTAGGCGCGCAAGCGCAGCTTTGTGGCTGCGGCGGTCGATCACGAAGGCAAATGCAAGACGAGCGTTACGGTGAAAACCCAGCAGGCAGAGACGGCCCAGGAGGTGGCTATCACCCTTGCGGTGGCCATCACTAAGGGCGTAATAGTGATCAGTGACTCGCAGGTGGCGATACAAAAACATGCCAATGGCCGGGTGTCCCGGGAGGCGCTGCGAATATTGACGATCAACGCGGAAAAAATACGAAACAAAAATGACACATTTGTTATATGCACAACTGCCCACAAACACTGCCCTCTGGCCAGCAATGAGGCTGCAGACGCGGTGGCTCAAGAGCTCACGAGCCGAGCAGTTGCGCATGCCGATGCCGCCTCTACCGAGGCCACACGCAGAAAAGTGTGGGAGTGGTAGGAACGTATAACTAGCTACAGTCAGATTAAGCACCACTACAAGCTCGGCAGGCGTAAATACCTACCACCATATAGCAAATAACTAATAAGCAGTCAGTTGCATGGAGACAACTCCAAGCAGACACTTTTTCAAATTCAGTGATCTTTCGCCTCTGTTACCCTGACCTGTATTCGACAGATAAATGCAAAGCATGCCATTCCCGGGCAATTTTCCCTGGGGCATATACTATGGGAGTGCTCAAGTCTCAATGACGCAGTCAGCAGTACAAACGAGGAGGCAGTCTCGAACCGCAGGGTGCACTGGGAGGCGGCTCTGCTCAGCTCCACATTAGAACAACAACTATGGGCCGTCCAGCGAGCTGAGGAAGCCGCCCTAGCCCAAGGGCTCATGGCCGATGCCTAGGCTGGGGTTCAAGCCCGCCCCGATTTATCATCGCTGGACTCTTAATAATAAATGTTGTTTCTCTGGTGGTGAGGCTGGGCTTCCCGTCCCATCGTGGGAGCGACCCGCGATCTTATCCCCATAAGACGGGGGTGGATTCCTTCAGGACGCCAATAAAACTTTTCATTCATCACCCATCTCTCTCTCTCTCTTCCGGACAAAAGCTAAAACATCAGTGCCTTTGACGGCTCCGAGGAAACTCCATGAGGGCGCAAGTGGAATAAACACAATCGTGAGTGACTATGGGTGACCAAATATTCTTGGGTGACTATCTGCTTACACACTAGAAACAGCCGAGGCCCGATCAGTAGGAGCTGCTAAGGACAGGTGTCGTTCAAGGAGCTCCTAAATCACGTCGTGGGAAGAGTTGGTGGTGCATTTCTATCATACCTACGTCAGCCAGACTTCCCGTTCATCAGCGTAACGACAACACGACCACCTTTTTTCCATTCCAAGGTGCGTCTTTGCCACAAAGTCAACTTCCACTTTCTGAATACGTGAGAACAAGTTTTCTTGGGGTTGAGGGCCCGGAAACTCTGCATCGTGCTTTTGGTTAAGATACTTGATGATGTCGACGACCTACTGCGCGGCTTCTTGGAGCTCGAATGCATTGAACGGGATCGGCAGGAATTTTTGGCACACGCAACCGAAGCCTTAAACCACCACCAGAGAGAGAGAGAGAAAAAGATACAAGGAAAGGCAGGGAGGTTAACCAGACGCACATCCGGTTTGCTACCCTGCACTGGGGAAGGGATAAAGGGGAGAAAAGAGGTTGCAGAAAGATGAGAAGGTACACACAATCACGAGCACACTCGGGGAGCACACACAGTTTACAGGCGGTCGCTCAGGTTTGTTGACTTAAGGTAAAGTAGCAGTGCTTTAGTTGCTTTCTGCGCAACTGAGGCAGATGCCCAAGGTCTTAGTATCTTCTGCACACAAAATGGTCAAGGGTCAAGTCGATTCAAAACCATCCGTAACCACCACCAGGTTCACAACACTGCCTGCCTGCTGCCATGACAAAAGAATCGACAACCGACGCGAATCAAGGAACAAAACGGCGCAACCAATCAACGCCTGACAACCAACACGTCACACTGGAAACCAACTTCTACAGGACATGTCGTCGTCTGCTCTCAACAGGAAGCACCCCAGCGGAAACAGATGACGCCCCGGGTTTAGAAGAACCATGGGTTACGCCTGCTGCAATCCCCAGAATGACATGTGAACACGTTTTCCAAATAAGCCCCACCATACGCTGAGAACTTCGGAGATAGTAAGTCACTGACAGCGTAGGTAGACGAAGAACCGAAGCCCAGGACATCTGCCGGAGCCAAAGGCAAACCAAAAGACAGGAACTAAGCCAACGCTGATGCCAAAAAAAGCAGACCGACAGCCAACCAAGTGTTGCGGAAAAAGACAGTGAAAAAAATGGCGAAATAAACAGCAGGAAAAGGCAGCGAAAAGAAAATAAAAAGGAAGAAGACGAAGAAACAGCGTAGGGACAAAAAGTGACACTTAAGGATATGCAGGCGGAAGGCTAAGTTGCAGAAGACAAAAAACCGAAGGGCGAGCCAAGCCAAGAAAACAAAACTCGCGACAAGTCACAGGTTGAATCGGGAAAAAGTGCGACAGAGAAGTCGGAAAAGGAGGGCACGGACACTGTAAAGCCGGGACCAGTAAAGCATGCGACTGGTCGTCCGAAGAGGATTGAAATGATGTTTCCATATGCGAAGCAGCTCATTGACTAGCCTGTATAACGCTGTTCTTCCTACGCACTACGCTCCCATGGCCACAGATGCACGTACTTTCCCGGCTGTCACCGTTGTATCGAGGGTTAGTGAAGCCGATCGCGTTCGTGCATAGCGACGACAACACCGACGAGGTGCGAGCCAGGGAAGGCGAACGCAAGCGTCGGCAGTGAAACCTTAGAGACACCAACGAGCTGCGAGTCAAGAACACCGCTCGCGTTCAAGAATACAGACGTTGTACGGGTAACACCGACGAGACGTCAGCCACAGAAGCCGAGCGCAAGCGTCGTCAACGCGTCCCGCCTCCTCTGTCTTTGCGTTTCAAACTAACGTTTACTCGAGTTAACGCTACACTGACTTTCGCTTCAAACCCTTCTACCAGCACCTGCGTCGATGCTTGTTTCAACCTGATTAACTCCGTGTGCACCACTGCTGCTTCGCATCCCATCAGGGTTCCCTTCGGGGAGATGGTTCATTGTTTTGTGTGTGTTTGTGTGTGGTGAGAAATATTTCATGCCTCCGCTTCGTGTTGCGGCTTTTTAAGGTCAAGCCAGTCAAAAAAGCCGGAAACTATGACATTCCCTTGCGCGTTTCATGCTACGAACTGGCGGACTTCTGCGTGCCGTGAAGAACTTAACGCGTCAGTGTGTAGGCATCGCTATTTTCTTGAGTTATTTGTTTGTTTCTTGCATATCTTGTTTCTGTTGTATGTTATTCAGAAATTAGTTTAATACAATGGCAGAGCGTTTGCATGAAAAATCAATGAGGTTAAATAACTTCGCAGAGAGAGAATTAACGAGGAGGTTAAGCGTAGCAGGGTGAACGAATGTTGGCAAATAGCGAGCACGTGCACGGGATTCACGTGCCCGGGGTACTTAATGAAAGAGGACGACATAGAGAATCTCGAACGTATCACCTGTGTGGCCTGTGAATTCTTCTGGGATAGTAAATTAATCTTTTATTACGAGGTCTCGCGTGCTTGAAGGACGCTGCGAAGACAACACTACGTTGTTGCAAGGCAATATTGCGCGGTACACTCGTTTTTAATTTTAAA